TCTAATGTATGCATTACAGTTACTTCTTTCCAGTGACTGCATAAGAAACCAAAGTATGGAAGCTCTAATAAAGGACCAGAAGGATCCAACTTCATATGCAGTAAGAGTCATCTAAAATGCCGTATGTGATAACGTGAGAAGATATGGCCCAAAGGATTTAGGAAAGCTTAGAAAACGACATTAAGAATGAATATGTTCAAGAGTGAAATTCCAGCTCTTGTCTACACCTAAGTGCAGGTAAAATAAGGCACATGAGTAACCTCTGCATTTCACCAGTCCCATTTTGCTGTTGGAGGCCTGTCTGATCCTGTTACAAACTCAAGAAGTAGGGCTGGCCCCAATCGGACAAAACTGGTTTCCATCTAGGAGTGTCAGCACATTAAAATCAGAGCTTTACTCTGAGAAGATTCTACTATCAGTGAAACCAGAGTTGTTCATAGGCATAAGATATAGCTCAGAGCAAAATGCCAAGATCGTCACAGGACTTCCTGCCCTTAGGGAAGACACATGCTCCTATTCTACTCAGACCTTGGCAGCAGGGCTTGGTGCCCAGACCACTGGCTTACAGGATACTCTTGTGGAGCCCTACACTCTTCATAAATCACTGCACATTCACTGGAATAGGAACATTTTCCACAAGTCACCAGTTGGCGGCTGGTCACTAGTGGTGTCCCCCAGGGATCAGTGTTGGGTCCAGTTCTGTTTAATATCTTTATTGATGATTTAGATGAAGGGATTGAGTCCACCATCGGCAAATTTGCAGATGACACTAAGCTGGGGGAGAGCGTCGAGGCAGGAGGGCTCTGCAGAGGGACCTGGATAGGTTGGAGAGTTGGGCTGATTCCAGCGGGATGAGGTTCAACAAGGCCAAGTGTCGGGTCCTGCACTTTGGCCACAACAACCCCCTGCAGCACTACAGGCTGGGCACAGAGTGGCTGGAGAGCAGCCAGGCAGAAAAGGGACCTGGGAGTTTGGATTGACAGGAAGCCGAACATGAGCCAGCAGTGTGCCCAGGTGGCCAAGAAGGCCAATGGCATCCTGGCCTGGATCAGGAACAGTGTGGCCAGCAGGACCAGGGAAGTGATTCACCCCTGAACTCAGTGCTGGTGAGGCCACACCTGGAGTACTGTGTCCAGTTCTGGGCCCCTCAGTTCAGGAAGGATATTGAGGTGCTGGAGCAGGCCCAGAGAAAAGCAACAAGGCTGGTGAAGGGACTCAAGCACAAGTCCTGTGAGGAGAGGCTGAGGGAGCTGGGGTTGTTTAGCCTGGAGAAGAGGAGGCTCAGGAGAGACTTCATCACTCTCTACAACTCCCTGAAAGGAGGTTGTAGCCAGGTGGGGGTTGGTCTCTTCTCCCAGGCAGCTATCAGTAAGACAAGAGGGCATGGTCTTAGGCTCTGCCAGGGGAGGTTTAGGTTGGATATTAGGAAGAAATTCTTTACAGAGAGGGTAATCAGTCATTGGAAAGGGCTGCCCAGGGAAGTGGTAGATTCTCTGTCCCTGGAGGTTTTTAAGATGAGACTGGATGTGGCACTAGTGCCATGGTCTAGTAACCACGGTGGTGTTGGATCAAGGGTTGGACTTGATGATCTCAGAGGTCTTTTCCAACCCAGCTGATTCTATGATTCTATGATTAACAACTTCTCTCAAAAGAAGGGTAAGAGCTAAAGGGAGATATGTAAAGGATGAAAGAACTAAGAAAATCAAGCTGTTTATCCAGACTTTTGCTAAGTCCCTCAGCAGCAAACAAGCATTCTTTTAGCCCTTAGCTGAAACTAGCTTATGTTTTGCTATGCTTTAACAATTCCAAGACAGCTTCTGTCCCTTGATACAATATCAAAAAATTTGCACTCCAAACAGCAATTGCTGTAATAATAACAATACTTACATGTCATTATTTAACCTCATGCTATTCATTCATGAGGATTAGTGCTTAATTAATTAACAACACTTAGCATTTCCACTCAGCACTTTACCTCTTCAAAGCATCATACCAACACTACCTAATTAAGGGCAGAGCTCCACAGACACTTCACATCAGGACTTCTCTTTGACAGCTCTGCATCCAAGAGTTGCCCACATCGTGTAGCATGAATTCAAGTTGAAAGCCCTGCTAACTTCATCAGGAACCAGGTAATGCCCTAATTATCAAGAGACTATCTTTGCAATTTCCTTTTCTTTTCCTATTGCTTCTGGTTGCTTGCTATTCACCCAGGGATCTAATTATTGGCTAATGTGATGGATGATAATGTGAACCTTGTATTAGTGTTATCTACAAAACTCTCATTCTTCTGTTAGTGCAAACCTTATTCTCAGTCACCTGGTTGGACTGCCTTTGGATAGAAAATGTGTTAACCACAAAAACAGATTATAAAATGACAAGTGAGAGTTTTTAAGGGAGATGGTGCTTTCAATCCATCAGTCAAATGCCTGCTACAAAAGTGCCTTTCTTGAAAGCACCCCAGGATGCTACACAACATCAATAGACAATATAAACACAAAGCTTTTATGGTTCACTTTACAATTGGACATTGACTCTGAACCTGTGAAACAGAAAGGAATTGAATTTCATGACCAAAGAGTATAATGTGCACAGGATTAAGTAGACAACACTGGTAGAAGCAGGAAAGCAATACGGCATTGGATGCTGATAGGGAGATTAAATTTACAGATAAGAAACCAAAGGAATAAAACAATTCTGAGTAAAATCTTATAAGCCACTCAATACTTCATAACACTATTTCATATCCACTGTTTTTTTTCCAGAGAATCAAAAATGCTGATGGATTTGTTCAGAGCCCACTGGTTGACTGGGCCTTGATTATGAGAACTGAACAAAGCTCTAAATATGTGGTAGTTCCAGCCAAGGGAATTATACAGACAGTATAGAAGTAAACTTCTCATGCAGTCAAGTGGGAAGAAAAAGAAAATATTCATCACAGTTCAAGAATTTGTTTAGTGTCTCAGAGGATGTCTTCACAGGGCAGCGGCTGGCAGAGCAGCAGCCTGGGGCTGCTGCTGATCAAACCTGCTCCAGAGGAAAGCAAGAAATCCAATACAGCAATGTGCCTTCCAGCTCTGAGGGGTGCTGTGGTGTGTCACATGCACATCACAGCTTGCATCAGCTTGGTCAAATAGCTTTCTCAGGAAGCCCTTCTTGCCAGATGAGCCACAGCTTGATAGATACCAGAAATTTAAATGGTTTGGTTCTTTGAAAACTGATTGTCTTGAACAGAATCAGACCCAACCATTTTGACACTGAAGTATTCCACAACGATAACTGTGTATCTGCAGTGTCTTTGTGCCCAAAATAAGCTGTGTTAGTGTTACTGCTAAATTCTAAAATCCCAAGAGTTTAAAATAAAAAAACAGGCTTTATTATTGGTTAATAGAATTTCATTTAAACTGCAGATGGATGAGGCCCTTATTACCATATTCACCCTTAAGCTGAGGGTCATATACTCATCCTAGACTTTTCTTGACATGTGTTTGGAATTCAATACCTGCCTTTCATCTCCCCCTACTCCCCACAATTCTTCTCCCCTCACTCAGCTTCAACTGAATACGCTCCAGTATTCCCTTGCTACTGGTTACCACTGTCTAGGATTCCCTTGTCTCAGACAAATGGACTAGCCCCCAGTGAGCTAACCCCTAAGGTCTCCATCACTTGGTTACCTTGCAGCTCTTTCTACCGTTTACCATGTAGGACCCATCCCAGATCCATTCCTGCCTGCCCTGCTTCTGCATTGGTTAAAGCTGGGTCTACTGATGTATATGGTTACATTGGGAAAATCATGCATCTTTCTTATTACAAGTTTCCTAAAATGTAATGCTCAAATCAGAATCATCCACTGTGGTTCAGGAAAAGATACCTGCTAATTAGCACACACATTGGATCAGACCATTAACAAATGCATTGGGAAGCTACTGTGGAAACTGATTCAAGTTATTATGTAGGTAACTGTGCTTCTGTTTCCAGCACAAAGCTGTCACATGAGCCCTTCTCATCACTTTTGTATTTACATTTGCTGTGCATCTGTTCTAGCATCTCTAAGCTCTGATGTCTTGGAAGAACACACACTGAGATACTTCCTGACTGGGGTCAGCTTCTAGTACTGGAACTCTGCTGGGTGTGGCTAAAGATGTGAACCAAACACAGGCATAAAAGCAAGTTGGTAAAGATAAAAACCTGGCATTTGGAAGGCAGTTCTCTGCACTGGTGCTTGACCAAAATAAATTTAGATTACTTCTATAATTAGGATTTTACCTTTTATTCTGCTGTTTTACTCAGCCTATACAATAAACCAAGTTGATCTGTTTAGTCTGCCTCATGGGGTGTTGGGGTTTCCAAGTTTCACAGAACTGCAGAATTTCTGCTGTTCATAGTGCTCTCTCTGTAAAAGGTCACAGGGAGATGTCCACAGAGTAGTCAGAAACAGATCCATGGTGGTCATGCATGTAAGTTCCAGCATGTATTTCCTCCCAGCTTCTAGTGTTTAATGTCACTGGGACAATTTATACTTTTGGCTATCAGAGCATCCTACAGCAGTGAGTTTCACAAGTGATATTGATTGCACTAAGTCATACATGTGCTTTCCCTGTTACTTCATCAGAAGAAAGTGTTCCTGTTGCTGCACCACCACTGTGCATAGTTATAAGCCTTGCAGTTTAGCCTGCACAGGGAGTGCTGCATGAATTGTTTGATGACTGGGAGTACAAGACATCCTAATCTGCTTGCCTAGTGAAACTGCTCAGCACTAGGGTTAATAATGAAATACAGGCCAGCTGAAGCAACCTTTAAAGAGCTTGGTATTCTCCAGGGCAAATATGATTGAGAGTGACACTAGCTATATATTTTACTAATTTTATCACTATACCTATTCTAAGCACAGCCTTTCAATTAATTGATTCTTAGGACCTGATACAGACTACTGAAATATTTCTGACAACAGCAATTTCACAAGTAGCATTACTCATCCCATCCCAACTCAGATTTCTCACCTTTGTGGTCCACAATTTGACTGTCCAGTCAAATGATGATGTGACAAAGAGATGAGAAAAGTCAATTGGACCCACTGCCATGTGACAATTGATTCCTGTGACAGGTCCTTGGTGGCCTTCAAAAATTTCACCAATGCCAGCTTTACTGCAGGAAGAAGAGACATTTACATGTGGAGAGTCATTTACCACCTAGTGATTTAACATTATTTTTCTTTACTCTTGGGTTCCTGTTTCCTTTTAAAGTACTATTTAACCTGTAAATCTCTCTCCTTTCACTAAGGCTTTTGCCTGCAGAGGGAAAAATTAATGCTCAGAATCCAGCACAGGGAGACTTTCTCATACCTGAAGACTTGCCTTACTCACTTCTACGTATACTGTCTACTACTGTAGTTTAAAGTAACATTTATGTATAATTATAAAATAATTCCAAATTGTAATTATACTATAGCTTATGTCTCTGAGTAAGCCATTATCACAAGGAATAACCATTAAAATAAAAATGCAAATATGTTAATGACTTATCATGAGCAATTCTTTTTGTCTTAAATACCTAAAATAACTTTTCACAGCAGTCAATCAAGTCACTAGGAAGCAAATATTTTTTCGCAGTAATTGAAGGAACAGGTCCTGTGATCAGATATCATACAGTTATTACTTTTAACAAGGGGAGAAATACATTTCATCAGCCTGAGGCTAGAATACCTATTAGGAAGGAAAAATACAACACTGTGTAAGACAGAATGTGCACAGTTTTTTTCTTCCTGGAAGTAAATGATGCCAGCTTAGTTGTCAGTGCTGTCTCACAGTGTACACAGAAAAGGGAATCATAAAATTACCCTTTTAGTTAGATTATAGAAAAACTGCGAGTGAAAGAAAATACATTAAAAATAGCCACAGCCCTGATGAGGCTGTCAGCGCTGTGCCAGTGTGAGTACAGTGTACTGAGAGCTGCACTGGAGGAAAAATGGGGATGGTAGCAAAAAGCTCCAGGAAAGACAGACAGGAGCAGAAAAACTTTTGTCAATGGCCAGCAGAATGTTTGCTAAAAGGGTGTGCTAACATGAGGATCTGCCACCTTCTCCCTCTTGTGAGGAACAAACCAGGAATGTCTGAAAAATCAGAAGTGAAAAATACCCTTGGGCATGCTTCGTTTGTCTTAGAAGCCTAAGATTAATTCAAACCATCATCAGCCACACAACCCATCAGTATATACCTAAATAGACACAATTTTGCAATACTGTCATTGGTCAGGCTAAAATAGAAATATTTGAAAATAAAAAAATATTGAACAAAATAACTCAAAACAGTATTTAGAAGACATTAGGGATGTCTAATAGAAGCCTTACAATCTTTAACCAGTGTATCAATGTCTCTTTGGTCAACAGAAACTCTGAATGTGATAAAATCTGAATTCAGCAAATATTGCAAACTACTGAAGTGTGGGCGTGAGCTCTAAGTCTATCAGTGGAAAAAGTTTGTTGTTTACAAAAGCATCCCAGAGGATGGAACTACTACTGGAAGCTATCAGAGCACATTAGCATTCCATAGATTTGCAGGGTGCAAAACAAGTAACTTGCAGTATTAAACTGCAGCCGGGGTTATGTGTGGAAAGGATATGACCCCCATGTGTGAGAGAGCACAGGATCCTGGGAAGGAATTAAGCAGAGCTCTCAAACCTATGTGGCCCACTACAGCCACATCCGTGCTAGCAAAGAGACCAGGCAGCAGGCCAGACTTAGGGACAACGCTGTGGGTGGCTGCTGGCTGAACAACAAAACCCTGTCACTCTCCTGGAGAGGGTGGGCATGTCCAAATTGCCCCCTGACAGTGGGGGCCAGCAGGGCTCAGTCTCTACCCTCTCTGCACAGATGCAGCCTGAACTGCTGCATAGGAATACCCGGAACCAGATGGCCACGCATGGGAAACTGCGTTCTCTGTTTCTCATGTGCACATGTGCTCATGGTGGCTTTTCTCTGATTTATGCTTGTGGAGTTTGAAGATGGAGCTGAGAATGGTAAAAAATAAAGCAGATTACCATCTCTTATGAGTGGTTGAGGCCTGATTACCCTGCAACAAAACTATCTCCTAAGGCCTCATTTGACCTGCCCAGATAATAGATACCTACATCTCAGCTAGCTGTATAAGCCTCCATCTCATCTCATGGGTGAGAAAGAGGCATTTCTGAGGTCCCAGTCATCTTCTCTTCGGGCAGATGGCTGAAAAAGGTAAAGGAAGTCAACCTAAGAGTAGTCATTGCTCCCCACCAACCTCACAGGGAGGCTGGGGCAACTACCTCAGTATAACAGGCTGTAGCACAGATGCTCAGAGTCAGGCAGCTCCTGTCCCCACTCTCCACACACACTTGGCTACCTCTCACCAACACAGGTGTGCAATGTTATATCAGTACAAAATGCTGAACCTCACCTTCCATGACGACAAGCTGTGTAGACTGTTCCCTCTTCACTGCCAACGACAAAGTTATTGACATCTCCAGTTGGAAAAGCCATTCCTGTAACCGCCACTGGTTTGGACTTATTGTACACAAGCTCCATGCTCTCCTACCAAGACAGATTTTTGTTATTCTTCTGTTTGTTATTTGTTAGTCTGGTTTGGTTTTGGTTTTTTTTCCTAATTAATTTCTAAACGTTGCACAGGGTAGCAGGAGAGGAAGATGAAATCATTTGACCCAGTCACGGGATTTTGGTTTCTACTTGGGATATTGTGAGAAGATGCAATGTCACTAGGATGCTCTTGCCATCCCCAACACTATCTGTCATACATTTGAGACTGGCAGGAAGGCACTGGTCTTTCCTGCATCATTTTAAATCAGGCAGCTATGACAGGTGAGAATTTAAAATCTGATGGTGCAGAAACTGAAGGTAATACCTTAATGGTTACACTTGCCAGCCCCAGGCTCTAATAAATCATGCAATACCCTTCTATTTACAAACATTTTGGAAATCAATTGTTAGGAAGCACATGTAATATTGTGTGCATCTGAGGCATTTATTACACTGTGTCATTTGTCCCTTTGTAGGACAAAATTAAAAAGTTGGGGTTCTGTCACTACCACCATTCTAAGCGTTACTTTTCAGGGATTTTTTGAGGTAACCAGAAACACTCCCTCTAGACTCCACCATCAAGCTACAAACCAGCAGAAATGTTTTCTTTTTTCATTTGGTAGCTATATTTCAAAGAGAATCAGCATGCCCATTTTTACTATTGCAAATACAATCACCATGGACAGTTTGTGGCCATTGCAAGATGCAAACACTTTGAGCAGACTTTGCACAACTTTTTGGTTTTTCAGCCTAAATCGTGTAACCCAAGAATCCACAAAAGGGCTGAATGATTTCACCATTTTCATTTTTAGCTATAAGTGGGTTTGTTTTCTATATTTAAAGTATCTAAGCTGCTATTCTTCTATGGCCAAAGCCTGTAGGGTTTTTCTCAGAAGGGTGTTTTGCTGTAACTAAAGAAAGTGAGTGTCCCTGCAAGAGGAGAGCGATGCAAATCCATAGAGAAATAGTTTTACTTGGTTTATACTTTTCTTTGAAATACATTTGATTCTATTATAAAGGAAAACATGGAAAATGTATGGGGAGAACACTCCATATTTCTGTGAATATGTGAGTGAGGAAGAGAGAGAAAGAGAGAGAGAAAATTCAGTGAATATGGGAGACAGACCATATATTTTTGTGAAAATCTTCTGGGATGAGATCATCATTTAGTGTCGCTGTGGAGACACAGCCATAGACTGTGGTGGACTCTCTCCTCCCAGCGCCCACACCATGGCTGTACTCAAGTGCTCTGTATCTGTGTCTTTGGAAAGTTTCAGACTGACACACATCAGCAACACTTTACTCCTCCCAATTTAAAACTGTGGCATGTAGCTCGACATCAAGCCCTGTCCCTTTTTTTTCTAGATCACCGTGAGCCATATGCCAAACTTCAGTGTAATATGGGATGTGTTCCCATCCTTGTTGAGAGCCAGTTTTGGAGCAGGGAAATTCCATCTGAGTGATGAGGTACCGGAACTCAGATGTTCAAAGATCTGTGCTTCAGAATTTAGAATTCCAGTAAATGAATACATAAGGGTGGAATTTATCTTCTTGATGTTTATATGAGAAATAAGGGAAGGGGTTTGGATGCCTGAGCATAGATGTCTGGACCATTTTAGGTGCCTCCACTTCTATTGCAGAAGAGTATTGGTATTTCGTAGTCCCAGGGCAGCACAACTACCAGCCCCACACTGCTGCCTTGGGCAACATGAGCAACATGGTTGACCTTCGGAAGCTGGCCTCACTTTGAGTAGGGGAGTAGATGGGATAACTTCCAGAAGCCCCTTCCACCTTAAGATTGGATGAAATCATTTCTGTATCCCAGGGTGGGTATCTGAAATGGCATTTCACACTTGGAGGGATTAGTCATTCTCCAGAAGCACCAGCCGCTCTCTCTGTTAAATGTAAAGGAAACTTGGAGTTGACATGGACTTAACTTTTAGATGGCTGAGGTTTAGGATAGAGAAGTCCCACCTCTTGTGTCAACACTGAAAAGCAAATAATTTGATAGTAATTGCACAATAATGCATGATTAATGGGTGGGTAATGGAAGCAGTAAGGGGAGTTTCTATGCAGCATTTTGAAACATGATCAGATCCCATTATGCTTAGTAAAAATGATATTAATTTTCTTTCCTAAGAAATGATGTATAAAAAATGAATGATGTGTTAGAATAGAAAATGTACTACTCCAGGAGATAACACTTAAAACATGCTTTCTGTACACCTTTTTCAGCATCGGATTCTTTGTTTAGTTTCCATTATTATAATCACTAGTGGTTTGAGAAATTTTCCTATGTTTCCTTTTATTTCAGGTACAAAGGAGAGGAGGGGAAGAATAGGTGATGGTAGCAAACATTCCAGAGAGACGAGATTAGTTCTAAAACTTTTGAATTGCATTGTTTGTTCCTTTGGCTACCGAAGGCAGGCAGCCATGTAAGCTGCCTATGTAAGCTTTCTGACTGTGTGCCTTGGAAACCTGTAGTGCCTAGGGTGTGTTCAGCAGCAGTGCAATCTAGTCCATATTTGTTAAACAATGCTGCAGAATAAGTGCAATTTATACCACAGGCGACTTCTGTAATTATCATGCTTTAAAATGGACTATTTCATTTTCACTTGAAACTGACCTATGTATTAATGTATTACAGTAATTGCATGATTTGTGGTAAAGGAAATGGGTTTGGCTCTTAGCAGAGGCTGCTGGAAGCAAGCTGTACTCTTTCAAGTGCATCCATTGAGTTTAGTTTGTATAGGATGTGAGGTTTGGGCTTTTAGGAGCTGTGTTCCGCTACACAGGTATCCTGCTCTACTGAAAGCACTTTTTCCCCCTGTAGAGATGAAAACAAACCCACCTGTGGAGTTGAGAGCATGTCCAGGCTCCAGGAGCACATTTTGCCATCCGTAGAGACAGTAATGAGATTGTGCGCATTCTGTGTCCCAACTACATTCACACAATACACAGGATGCTGAAAACACATTGATACTGGAAATCAGAGAGCCATCTCACATTTTCACAGACAAATTTCTAATGTCTCATATGTTATTTTAAAGAACGATTAAGTAGTCACACAATGCCTGGAAAATACAACTCAGCTTTTGCCAGAAAGGAATTGTTTTGCTTAGGTTTTTTTAATTTAAATTTTAAGAAGTATGTTGTGGAGGTGGAAATGTTTTCTAAGTTTCATTTTCCTCATAATAAAACAACCCAGCTGAGTAATGCTGAATTATGTGGATGAGATTTCACCCACAGGGACTTTATCAGTCTGCTGATGGCTTTTGACACTGAAAATAACCAGCAGAAAGAGGCAAATTGTCCAAACAAAATCAAAATGAAATCTTTATTCAAGAAAACAGCTGCATAAAACTTGAACTCTGTCAGAATTTGGCTTGCATGATAAATATTTGCAAATGCACTCTGGCTGAAGAACATGAACCACCCCATCAGCGTTCTTCAGCATTGGCCAATACACCTTTTTGATTCTGTTATTATAAATGGGGAGTGACTAAATTTAGGGTGTTACACCTGGCTCGACATAACACAGTCATTCCATGGAGGCTGAATTCCACGTAGTATGCATAATGAAACTTGGCCTATTCCTTTTCCAAGGAACCTGGTAACATTTTGAGCCTAGTGTCATCTGATATCTGATGGTAACATATGAGGGATGGGTCAAGTTCAGCAAACTCCAGAGTGAAAAATCAGTCAGTCTGAACAACAAGATTTAATTTCCTTTGACCTGTACAAGTGATACTGCTGAATTAAGGGTTAAACATATACAAAAGTCAAGCAAAGAAAAATTTAATTTCTCTGCTGCTTTTGCCAATAAGTAGAAGACCTGCGTTTCCAGAAAGAAAAAGCACTTTTCTCTAATACTTTCCTTATTTAAAGAAAATTAGGACCAACTTACAAGAGATCCCTATGGAGCTTCTAAGCCAACTCCATGCAGAGTTAGAAATGTAGCATTTACTCTTGCTGAAAGGAATGGCGGAACTACCACTTACGTCAGACTACTTCAAGATCCAGCTGCAGGTCACTTACCCAGTCAGTGGGAAAAGGCAGAAATCTTATTTCAGGTTTGATACCTAAGTGCTCAATAAATGTCCCCTCTCTAAGTGCCAAAAGGGCAGCACCTGTGTGAACATTGTTTGTGCACACACTGAGAGGGACCAAGCAATTACTGCTGCAATGGTACCTTGTGCTTGGAGTTCACCTGTACACACCAGTAAGTCACAAGGTCCATTCTGATGCTGATTTTTTTCTTTCTCTCAAGATTTTCAGGCACATGGTTTATCCCAGATCATCAAATGGACCCGAATTGGTCCCTCACACGTGCTTCACACTATTACCCTCATATAATGGACCTTTTTGCTGCTTAGTTTTAAGGTAATGACCCCAGTGCTAAACATGATTGCTACATACTGATGTGTGAAATAAGCATAGGCCTATTTTTTCATGGGCATTTGAACTCCAGTAGTCCAAACAGACAGTGACAGAGTGGGTGGGAGGAAGCCAAAGCAAGCAGTGGACTATCTAGGATATTTAGCAGGGAGGAAGACAGTAAGCTATGTCTTTCCAGCAGCACCTCAGTGTGTCAGGTCTGGCTTTAATCAGGGCTACCAGCCATCAATTTCATGCACAATAAAACTCATGGCAGAAATGAAAAGATGTAAGGAAAGCAGATGAATAAGACAATCAACTGTATGCAACAGAAAGTCTAAACAGGCTCCTTCCTTTCAAAGGGTCGCTGCCAGCTTGCTTTTATTTATTTTGGAAATGAAATCATCATGCAAAAGGGTTTTGTCTTAATTAAAATTTCCTGTTGTTCCAAGTACAGATGTGTGGTGGGTGTGAAAGGAAATTAGTGAGTAAGCTGCGGGTAGAATCCTCTTTCCTGGTGAATCCAGGCAGTAATCAGTGATACTAAATTTCAGGAAGGTTTAAGTCAGTGAAAACAACACGATTGTTTCAAATAAACAAAGCAAGAGAAAGAAAAGCGAAAAACCCTTTTTTCTCCTATGGCATGAGTTCAAATTAAAAATGACTATTCAACTCACATATAGCAGTACATAAATTAAGATCATTACGGTAGAGTTGTCTTAATTTAATTCTTTTTTTTTCTCAGCAGCTAGGATTCAAGCCAGCCTTTTGCAACCAAGACCTCATTTGCAGTTTATGTAAGTAATTCCTATTTATATACATAAAGTAAGCACTCTTTTATTGTAAAATCTGATCACTCCTGAAAAACATCATGCTTCGTCATGGTAAGACTGCTTAAACACTTATTTATACCAATCCATGACAGCACATAAATTGCCCATCCACAACCAAAAGTAATTTATTTATATTTGTCAAAAGCAAAACAGCATATATTGTCCTATTGCAATAATAAAACTACTTTAATATATAATTCCAGGAGGTACAATTTTGCCTTAAGTGATTTTTGAGTGTAAACAAATTACTTCCCATTAATCTTTTCTTTTCCACTAGATTTCGAGTCCCAGTTGTTCAATTTTCAGTGATAGTCAGCGTCTTGCTATTGGTTTTCTGGTCTGCTACATCTCTAAATTGCACTTCCAGGAGAGACTGTTTCTTTTCATGCAGATTGAACAACATTATTGGCGACAAAATGAGCAAAACATTAGGGAAATGAAAAGCAATGTTGAAGATGCAACCTGTGGCACAGATCATTAGATAATTACATCAACATTCATGATAGTGGAAATTTAGGGAACAATATTTGTAATGCCTGGCCCACTAAGTGTGTCTGTGCACACCTGTCATTTTGTAATATAAGAGACTGACCATCATAACACTGGCCCCACACTGAATCTTTTGCATCAATTTACGTGGCATGGCTTCTAGAGCTGTCTTTTAACTCCAGGGATTATGCTGTCACAGTCAACAAAAAGCTGAACTTTGATCTGCAAATTCCAAAGATTAGAATCACAGAATTGTGAAAGCTGGAGGTGCGAAAGTACCATCATGTTGTCCGATCCTTCATTCTGCTAGAACAATACTATTATCTCTTAGAGTGCTTTATGTAGTTCAGTTCCTTATGTTTCTGAAAATCTGCATTTTTCTGCACTCTCATATGATACTTTGTATATTTCTCCTCCTTTGCACTTTTCAGTAAGAAATTGCCCTAAGCCCACTTCCAAGATGAACTACTCCACTTTCCAGCTGTTCTGAAGAGTCTGCCTAAGCCTAAATCCTGGAGGACAACTCAAGAATGCACAACATCTTTGTGCAGAATTGACTGAAAGTCAGTACAGTAGCAGAGTGAGGACACTTTGGCAGGCAATCCAGGCTCATCTCTTCCTCCAGCACAATAGTCTCCTACCACAGACATCATCCTTGTATCACAGAGAAACTCTTCCTTTTCAGGCATTTTTTATTACTGCTCTGCCTGTATGCCTCCCAGATATCATTAGAACCCATTTCCACCATCACTATCCGCAGGTACCAGTGTGTGTCAGGAAAATGCTCTCCCACATCATTCTATGGAAACAAACTCCCCCCCAGTGCACAAGCTCTGCCCTATGGCCCTGTCTAGAGTAGGAGACCATGGCAAGCATTTATGTATTCCTCTATTAGAAAACAGAAGCAAACTGCCACACTCTTTTAAAGGGTACAATGTGACTTACAGGACTCCACTGAGATCACCATAGGTGCCTAATCTGGTTCAAAGGAGAAATTTGTGTACACCAAGACAACAACAAATGATTCAAATTGCCTGCCATGCTGGACTGACAGACACGCAGTCTCTATAATGACCTGTCTTTACAGGCAATGGAGAGCAAGAGTTACAGTGCCACTGAGCTGGCACAAAGGTGCCTCACTCAAGTGTTGTACTCAGTCCTGCTTTTTCCCTGGAAAGGAGAATAATCTCCTGACTAGACTGTATGAAGTGTGATGGTTAAGTACTTACAGGAGGTTGTTGTACATCTCTCTTACCTATTTCTTTCCTTTCAAGGGCCACACTTAGGTTTTCATCTGTGTGGCAACCAGCATTGTAGACACAACTATACAGTTCCATTTCCTTGCTCGCCATTTCCTCTTAGGAAAGGAGGAGTGATTTTTGTCCTTACCGTGTGAGCAGCAGCAGATAAGGGAGTTCTCTGAACTGGAGTGCGCCTGTGACTGCGATTATCCCACAAGACAATCTGGCCAGAATATGTTCCACCAACGACAAGGTTTGGGTGAAAGCGGGCAAAACAGACTGACATCACAGAGGACTGGAGTAAAAGAGGTAGAGAAGAGAGGGGTTACATGATCAGTTATCTTCAATGCTCTCCCTGGGGAATCATATGGTAATTAGCATTTTATGTTTTAAGAATCACTGTATGAACTGTATTCATACTCCTTGCACACCAGTAATTCTACTAAAGCCAACAGGACACATGCAAAGAGCTGACTTTGACCCTAAAATGTGTTATTCCACTGGTCCTCGGGAAAATATACACCAAAGGGTGAGTCTAAGCGTGGTGCTAAAAACCTGAGATAATCTCTCCATGACAGTGATGGGAAAGTGCTTAATTTCATACAGAAGTGAGAACTCCAAGTAACCAGATACCCGCTGGAGAGAGGTTGACATCCTCGCCCATGATATCCCATTAGGGAGAGCTCTACTCCTATTGCTTCTCTAACTTTGAGCTCTCAGGTAATGAGATGAGTCCGCAAGAGACCATCCACAGTGCACCTCAAGGTGTGATGTCCTGAGAGCATCAGCTGACAAGCTGCATCTCATTGTTGGATCCATGACTGATTTCTCTGCTGCCGAGGTGCTCTTGTAATAGCAAAGGGAACCACACTTTCCTCTATACCGTCCAAACAGAACTCAGTTTTTCCTCATTTTAATGACATCTGAGTTGTCTTTGTACATTTTCTTTAGCTGGGGATGCTGAGGAACGAGACTGGTATCATGGTTGCCCTGGCTACCTGGTAGAGTGCCCCACAAGCCAGTATGAAGATTGGTATCTATCCCAACTACTGCTTTTCAATGTCTTTAAAATAACATGCAATAGCTGAAGTCTTCAAGGGAACAATCCTCAGAACCTTCATGTGCCAACAAGCTACAGCTGAGAGCAACAAGCTGTAACTCCTTCAAGTCTTCCATTCTCTTCCTAAGGAATTATTTCCCAATTTTATATAATTGGTACTGTATACTATGTCTTTGTTCTATGCAAATTGGAAAGCAAATGTTACAGCATTCATACAATTTCCTGAGAATTCACATACTAATAAAGAGAGTTTGCAAACAAAAACAAATGTCATTTTTTAAATAGCAGTTTTAGTGATGTTTACTAGCTGCAGAGGAAGGCTTGAACTGCTGTGGCAATTACAGTCAGAAAGTTAAATTCACTGTTAATTTTTGCATTCTTAAAAATTCATTTTCTGACTGTTTCCATTGAGTTTTGCTAACAATTTTTATTTATATTTTAATGACTGAATATTTTGAAGTGTTGGTGTTCCTATGTGGGAACACACTTTACTAAATGACAACGGGTTAACTAAATCACCAGATTTCAGTTGCATAAAAAGCATGGCAGACATTTAAGTAAATGTCGTTGAATTGGGAACATCAGAGTTGCCAAACTGAACTAGACCCAATGTCTACCTAGGTAATGGACCTGTTTCTTGCAGAAGTGGATGGAGTTGTGAAAACCTTGACGTGGGCAGATGTGTTATCTCCTTTTCTTACTGCTCCTCATTCTGATTTCTAGTGGCTAGAGACTGATTTGAACTTACCAGAGACTTGAAATCACTTCTGATAGGGCTAGAATTAATTATGCTAATTCCTGATGTCTATAACTAGATTAATAAGAATAAAGCAAAATATGAAGTTTGAATACTTTTTACTGGCTGCCTGATATCTATTGTTTAAAGCCAGATTAAATGCTAAATTAACTTAATAGACACATTTATAGCACACAGCAGTATATTTAGTACTGTTTTTTGGACCTAGTAAGATCAAGACAACGAAAAAAGCTGCAATTGCCTTTTTGATTCCCCAGTCTCTCTAGATTCTTGTGGCCCTTCACTTGACATCTATGATACCTTCGCTTGTTGACTAAAGCTTTTTCATATAGTTCTCTGATGTTAGTCTAGCATCTAATGATTAGATGATTAGTGTACAAAAATGCCTGCTTTAGTCCATATCTATCTAAGCACCTGAGCATAGTAATTACACTATGGTCAGTTGCAGCAACAAGAGGTAGCTTCCAAACACCATTTCCAAAGGACCTAGCTTTACAGAAAAGAAAACCCACCTGTAAGGAACAAAATGTGGGTACTGCTAAGAGCAGTTTAAAACTCAGCTACACTGCAGCTGCCATCCAGTTCCACAGATGCCCCCCACATTATAATTAAAACGGCTTTACAGCACATGTTCTACATTTTATCTCTTTGTTTAATGGCTTCGTGAGTTGTTTTAATCAACCCCTATCATTCCTTATAGCTAAACTGACAGATATTCTTACATGAAGTGAAATAGCCAGATGATTTTAAAATAGTACAGCTCCACCACTGTGTACACTCCACAGCAGCTACAAGGCTCCACATGTATTTTAAGAAACCCCAATTCAGTCATTCCACAACAAAGTTCTCAGTTTGTCCCAAACAAACCTGGGAGACTCTGAAGCAGGGCAAAGAAGCCAAGTGGACAGTGTATTTTTAAACATTCTGTTTTCATGGTTAGCATGTTTTTGAATCAGAATACCAGAATACAGTTGAATGGTCAGGATATAAACTGCTAAAGGGTGTTTTTCATAAAGTTCAAAAATAACCTACAGGCGTGACACGGAGTTAAGCCCTCTGCACTGCTTCTAGTTTTACATATTGCTCCAAAGTAGCTTGCAGTCTTCAAATGTGAAATGTTCACATCCTTTTAATTATTTCAGTATTATTTTTCTATAAAAGAAAAACTTCTGTCAAATATTAGAATTTAACAATTTAAGGAGTCCACTCCATACCACTTAGTATAGTGATTATTTTCTTAAAATTAATGGCAGTTCTCAGATGAGTAAGGGCTGTAAGATCAAGCCCATTCATTTAACAGCTTTAAAAGCATTCATTTCTTAGCCATAATGGGAGAGAGCAGCAGACAGGTCTCCAGTCTGTCTGAACAGCTCTGTGCTCAAGGAGAGCTGCAGAAACCATTCCCCATAAGCTTCTTCTGCCTCCAGGCTGCCTCTTGTTTGCCCATTCAAGTAGTCTTGCTCCTCTAAAAGAGAGTTTTGCTACTGACTTCAAAGGGGGAGGATCCAGCACATGGTGAGGTTTTTAAAATAACAGCATATCCCTTGTTGCACTTCTGCCACACCTTTCTAGGGAAATCTCACAGTGCTTTCCAATAACAATGGTAAAGCTTCACAGCTTTTCAGTTAGGGATATTTTATGCACTGTTGGTGCTTAGTTACCTTTTGTAGAGGGCAGAAGCAGCATTTAGAATAGGAGATTCCCGGCATTATCTTTTTATGGGTGCCACAGAGCATCTATATCTTCCAGCTGGTGGGACCCAGAAGAAATGGACACACCCCAGTGTCTGGTCATCTGCATTTCTCTGAATTGTGCTGTGCAGTGAATAATTTCATTATTTACTTTAGCTTAATGCTCAGGTATTTTCTCCCTCTATGCAAATATAGCCTGCTGGATTTTGCTTTCTCTGTCTTTTTTTAGCTTTCTCAGTGGCCTTACTAAGGGCTTCTTCTGGTACTTCTGGCTTTGCAATCTTCCACCCAGATGTTCTACTCCTAGTGGAGCCACCACACTAGTGCTGCTGCCTCATCCCCTGTGCATGCTCTGCCTCTCTGTGGAGACGAGCAGTTCTTCAAGGGCCAGGGGAGCTAGCCTGAGTTAGTTCCAGGTGGGAGCACGGCCCAGGGCATAAGGGAAGAGCTCAGACTGATAAACCTGTGGTTTTTGCCTGGAAAACAAGCAATCCTGCTTCCTGAATGATAAAATTTCTGCTCCCAGTTGCTACAAGAACCTCACTGAACACACAGTTGAGATACAAAACATGACATGTCTGTGCTCTTGTCACAGCAAAGAGAGGGCTGGCATCAGAAACAGAAATGTTGCCTAGCCCTTGGAGGTCTGCAGTCAGGGGCACGAAGGAAGCACCCCTGGTCCCCTGCCTTGTTGGTGTCAGGTTGTCTCAGCCTGTGGGGAGCAGCACTGTGGAACTGCCTCTGCTTCCCCCCTCCTTCCCTCCTCCCTCCCCACTGATGCACTGATCCAAACAGGCCCTGATCCCTCTTCAAGTGGCTGGCAAAGCTGGTTTTTATTTTAGAAGCTTAATACGGCCCAGATTTGGATTAATAGTGGCGTATCCCTTCAACCGCAGGTACACGTGCTCGGAACAGACAGTCATTTAGCTTCTCCTTACTGAGAAGCCTAACCTCAGTACCCACATCTGATGTGTGTAGAGCCCTGGAGACTCAGCTGTCTCTGCTCATGTCCATACGTTAGGATGGCACTCTGCCCAGCCACCAGTCGAACAAGTTCACAAAGACCTGGGTGCTAAACAATAATGACTCTCAACAGGCTTCTGCCTTCAGCCAGACCTCTTCTGCAGGAAACTGCTCCCAGAGCCAGAGCTGCCATACTGGTGCCATATGCCTACGCTTGACACCAGATGGATCTCAAAACAATGCTTTGTCAGTGGGAAGAAGCAATCTGAGGAGTTCACAGGCATTTCTAGGCTCCAGAACACCAGGTTATATTGCAGCAGGCACTCAGGAGACTCCTGGGTGTATTTTCTGGCTGAGTAAATGCATGTGAAAAAGCACTGCTGTCAGTGATATGCTGCTCTGGGTCAGTCTGACACAAACAACAGTGGACAACAAAATCAACTGCAGCTGAGATGAAGGGACAGATCCTTTTCCATGCTTGAGGGAATTGGCTTAGAGGGACTGAGAGCAGAGGGACAAAGTTGAGGTACTGCTGCTTAGCTATAACCATGAAAAGGTGCCAAACTCATAGTCCTTCATCCATAGGAACTGAAGAACAGTGACTGGACCTCTGATGCCCGCCCTTCTAAGAAATAAATAAATAAAGATAAAGGCCACTCCTGCTCATCAAAAGCAGTATTTAAAGAGTCTAAGCACTAATAGTCCCTCTGAGAGCTGCCCAACCTTCTTCTGACCAAGCCATCAGGAGATCATTTCATTCTTGCATTGCTACACACACTTATATCTGCCCCCAGAACAGATATGGATGATATACTTCAACTGCA